AGCAAGCTGACGTTATAATTCACATTCATGAGCTTCTTTTATAAAGCGGAAAGTCTCCAACTGCAATATTTCCACATTGTTCTAGAGCTCTCATTAGTCAACATTGCCGCAAAGACAGGCCAGTCGTAGACCAGTACCGCTTCATAGATACACAAATAGTACTGACTACCGAACAACTCAATAGTTCGAAATCAACGCTCCGTTAGACTCCACCAGGACAATTGAGTATCGCGGTTCAAACTCAGTTGAGATTATCAAACTAGGAATTCTAACGACTTCCTAATTATTCAACCTGTTCCTCAGCCACTAACCAATTCTTACAGGATATTTCCGATTTGAAAGCGTAGTCGAAGGGTGCAAAGGTTATGCATTTCAATCACATCAACCGAATTTGATTTAGTAGTACAGCAAAAAGAACTTCCTGAAAGACTAAATCGCCCACTGCACGCAGTAATGGCTTCCAAACAATGTGCATGGCTATTGTAGTTCAACAAAATGAAAGGAAACCACTTTAAACAAAACGATCCACCGTCCCGTATGGAAGGGGAGTACCGAGTCAGAATCCTTAATAGAGCGGTGTTCATCTTCAGTGGATTTGACTCGATGCGACAATGAACACCCACTTCACGATGACTACCGTGAGTGGGCCACCGACATGGATCGATTCGGCTGTAAACATGACCAAAACGTCAAGAAGACAATCGTTAAATTTTCTTGTATCAACCTTGTTTCAGCTCAACAATCTAAAGCAATAGTGAAAAAATTCCGTCAGGATTTCCAGAAAACAGGTAAGGAGATTCTGAACCTAAGAAGCCGACTTTGGTTATATCAAAAAGATTGACCGACAGATTAATGTTCTCGACAATCTCTTTAGACTCGTCGAGTTATTTTATGCAGTACGTTATATAACACTAAAAGCTAAAAGTTTTGGTGAATGTAATCACTAGTACTGCATAGTTCAGCTTAAGAATAACCGACAATGATCCGAAGGTAATTTTGCTCAGGTACATGCAGCTACGACACCATTTCAGTTAACCTTGTATGGGTAAACTCAAAGTTTTACTTTAAACCTGGTTTCTTAGATTTTTTTATTTTAGAAACTGCTATGCTCACTAATATCTATTATTACCTATGTCTTAACTTTTATTTACTGCCTATTCCTTTTCCATGGCAGGACAAGATGTGAAACAGCCACAGCGACGCTGAGAAATGAGCAAAACTTGGAACTACAGGTGGTCTTCGAACCTGTGGTTATCCTACCGGACGCTCATATGTACACTATGACAACAACCAAACACCTTGCTTTGCCTTCTTCTCGCTTGGCCATATCTCTGCAGCAACCCTATGATTTTATTATTATTAAGTTGTTTTAAAACCCAAAATTATTCCAAACATATTCGCGATTGCTTCTAGTTCATCAGTGTGGTCAGGTTCGACAAAATCTAATTTCTCTCCGTACTTACTATGAACTTAAATCATGTCGGGTATCCTGACAGAGAAGCAATTCGTCCCTCATTGTTTTTTGGTCCGTAATCCAGTTTTCCCATGTCTTGGTAGCAATTTTTGCATTCCTGATTTTATACGTGTGCTCTACGTTTTCCTATGTATCTTGTCATCTTTCTGGGGCACCTCCAACTCTGGTGCACAACGGAGCTAGAACCCAAAATCTCCACTTTCTCGACATCTGCAGTGCTGCCAATTATGGATGGTATCCAGTCATTTCAAAACATCAGTGGGATATTACGAGGATGAGAATTCGAAATACGACACATCATGTGGAAACAAACTGATGAACACCTAACCCTTTCATAGAGAACAATTTTGGTTATCTAGAAATCACAAATATACTACGTTTGCACCTATACAAGTCTCCCCAATGACTTCTTGTTGTATTCAAATGATGTCCCGAGTGTCGAACTTCAGTGTTGAAGTACAACAGAAATGTCGCCACGCAGTTCTCTTTGCCAAGTCTCTGTCATGGATACTCTTCTGTAGAAATAGTGACTCGACGTGGATAAACAATCCCTGGCAACAAGGGTCCTATGTGAATTATTGGATTTAAAAAATATACATCTCCCGTGGAACACCTACGTTAGGTAAACCGTCAACTACGAAAGAAAAGTGTGGAACAAAATCCTGTGTGCCAAAATGTGCCACGGGTAGAATAAGAACGACTACTTTATTTATCTCAGCTAGTATTTTTCTTTATTTGTTGGGCTACGTAGAAATGTAGCCAAGCATCTGTGAAGAATAGAAAGCGCTGAAATGGCTTTTCTGCTCATTCTCTTAATATGGCTTTGGCTGCCTTGATTTATAATACACGCTGAATAGAATAACAGCACTCAACGAAGTCACCTGTCCATACTTTGTCCATTTCTTATTTCGATAATCGTTTTTATGCAAATTCATTAAGTAATCTGACTCTGACATTATTTCGCACAACCTTCAGTGATCAATACTATAGCAAATAATCAGAAGATTAACGCACTAAACAAAACACTGCTCGACGCATACACGAAGGCAATCGCTTTAGAAAAAGAGGTAGAAATCTCGAGATAGGACCATGAAAGTCTAGGGATATACATTAATTGCCGCAAATTACACAAACGGTTTAAGAAACTCGTAACGATAGAAGCTAGATGGAACATACCATATCTGATATGGTGAACGAATACGGTAGTTGGATTTAGAACCGGAACAACAACCAGTGATAAATTTCTCAGCATAGTATGCTTAAGGTACATATAAAGGGACACGTACGAATAATGACATGCAATATAAAAAACTCGTTATAAACGTAGTAAAAAGATTACAAACATTTTCTAAAGAAATAAAATGGCAGCAAGACTTGCTTGGTTGGATCCACTCTATGAGCAAAATAAAATTATGTCATAAAATACAAACAAAGTCAGAACTCTGATAACAAATCCAAAAAGAACAAGTTGCAGGATCATTTAAATAAAACCACCTGCATCCAAACTAAACTTCACAAAACCACCGATACATAAATACCCTGTTTTAGATTCAATAGAGATCAACAAAAATATCGAATTTGACGTTTTGTCATTGATACCCAGGAGAGTGTACAACTGGAAAATTGGAATAAATCAGAGAGAAACGGTTTACTGAATGTAACGACGTTCAACATATCACATTTCGTGCATCAATTCGTCCAGATACTGAAATGCTCTGAAACGCATGATATTTAAGTCGAACATTCAGAGCTGGTTCAACTGTTATTCTAACTAACTTGTATGCGTGACCTATATGGCGCATATTTCGATGGCAATCTATTCTCATCAATAGTCATGAACCCAACATCCATTTCAATCGGTTATTTTTAAATGTAACTCTTCACGATCAAATATGTAACACCGTGGAAGGGGTTTACAGTAATCCTTGTTTTTATGTGATGGTATATATGAAAGTTTTCTTATGCAATTGAACACTGATATTTCAATTACGACATATTCAATGGTCAACAGCTGAGAGACAGTCGAAACAAAGGACACATGTGGTCCGGTGGTGAACGAGGTAGCCCCGGAAAGGGTAATAGCGCATTCGTTCCCCACCGCGGACACCTGCGGTCCGGAGTTTTGCAAATATCTCAGCATTACTGAAGTTATATTCAATAGTGTTACTTAATCTTCTTTTGCTGTTCTTGAAAACACAACATATCAGTTCTAACAAAGAGTGCAAAACCGAAAAAAAGCTTCACGTAAACGTTAAGAAAACAAAAAACCGAAAAAATTTGCACAAGAGGGTTTATTCTTAACGACCTAGTAGCCAAATCGGTTTTAACGTGGCTGGGGTGGTGGGATGTCTCTGGGTGTTGGGTCGTGGTGTACAGCGGTCTATCCCACCAGAAACAAAGGTCTCCTAAACACTGAAAAAGATCGGTGAAAATGGAATATTTAAGCACCACTGAAATCGCCATAATCGAACTCATTAGAAAAAAGGTTCTTTTGCAAATTATTAGGTTTACAAAGAAGCTTTCACAAGGCCACGTCTAATACAACATCTGTGGAGGATAAGCTACCGAGTGGGTACAAAAAATGCGGTGAAAATCTCCGCCAACCACTGAAAACGAAGTGCATTGAGTACAATGCACTTCACCCACTTTGTATTATGTATCAGTAGACCAGGATCACTGCCAACTGCAATATATATATACACACACACACATATTTAAACACATAACTCTAAAGACCGACTTTCTATAAACCTCGACATAGATAGTTGATATATTTATTTATGTGACCTTATAAACTGATCTTCTTAATCTGACGCGAGTTTGTTACAGATCTTCGTTGTCGTTGTCGTTGTTTTTGATGTTACTGATCGATGGCTGACGTTTCGGCGACTTCGCTTTCCTCAGAGCCTGGACGTACTTTATGTTAAAATACTTTTTATTATTCGGTGGAAGAGAAGGTTAAAGTTTAATGAAGATTAAACTTTCAAATAGACGCCATATTGAACAGAAAGGCCACTCACCGTGATGTTACGTGCGGGACTGGCCCACATGTAGTTCACGTGGAGTCGCGAGCAAGACACGCCCGGGGGTCAAAATACCATTTTGAAATAGGGCGCCAGGTCACGCGTGATAGTGAGGCATTCGTCCTTCCGGTTCATCTTTGGATTTTTGAAATTTATCAAAATTGTGGGCCAGTCCCGCACGTAACATCACGGTGAGTGGGCTTTCTGTTCAATATACCGTCTATTTGAAAGTTTAATCTTCATTAATACTTTAACCTTCTTTTCCACCGAATAATAAAAAGTATTTTAACATAAAGTACGTCCAGGCTCTGAGGAAAGCGAAGTCGCCGAAACGTCAGCCATCGATCAATAACATCAAAAACAACGACAACGACAACGAAGATCTGTACCAACCTCGCGTCAGCTTAAGAAGATCAGTTTATAAGATCACATAAATAAATTTAAACACATAATTCTTAAAAGATGAACCCGAACTGACATGGGTATTTACCAAAAAAGAAAACTCATCGTAACGACAATGGATACAAATAACAAAAAGAAACTATCAAATTAACACACCGATTCATCTTCACTTCAATCCAGCATGGACACTCGTTAATTGTTCTTCGGCTATAGTCAGGACCCCACCCTTTTACGAACGATATTCGAGCTACACAAAATCGTTTCATATCATCAGCTCCTTTTTTCGCTTCCTGAAAAAAAAAACCTTTTCTTATCTTTACAAAGGCAGCTTTAGTAGTGAATGATTAAGCAGCTTCGTATCACAAATATTAGGCTGGTTAAGAAATTCTTCCAGAATGTCAGAGTCCATAATTCTGCCTAATCAAATTCCTAACGATATCTCTTGGAGTCCTTTAACGATCTCAGGTTATTGGAAATTGGGAAGTATACAGCCTAAATGATAGCAATATTCACTTCCTGAACATGCGATTACGCGCATCGGTCTACTATGCAAAACATTTCAAGCCATTACTGATTGATAAAGAGCCCGATTACACTGCAGATAGATTCCTTCAAGCAATAAACAGATTTGACTTTTAAAAATATGGCTCGGATGCAAGTAGAATTCTCCGACCAACCCAATATGATCACTGTTCAAGCGGATTCGAAACTCGTGCATAGGGCTGTAGGGTTGTATACGCGGGCATGAAAGTAAGACATACACAATTTGCGAGCTGACGAAGATTATGCAAAAAAATGCAATACAAAACAATAAATCATAAAGACATGCGAAACACTGTTGCGAAAAATCAGTTCAACTTACGCAAGCTGTATACTCTGTCATTAACGTAGTTACGAAGCCGTTGTCCACCTGGGACTACTATTTCATAATTCTTATTTAACAGCCGATGCTATCAAATATCAAACCTCTACCGATAAGAAAATTTCGTTAGAAAGCACTCTATATCTCTCATGACACCTAGTAACGACTTCAAATAACTGAAACACACCGTCTAAAATTGCATGATGAAAGAAATGCAACGAAAGCTTTTCGAATAGGAAACTACAGGAGTATTCGGAACTATTATGAAATAAATATCACATAGATAACATTACCTGGAAAATATTACGTCGAATTTTTCAAGTGAAACAACTCTTATTTAAGTTTCGATCCTAATTTTCCTTACTTTAATAATCCCTCTCAGTTCAGCGCATAATCACCTATGCTGATTTCTCCACAACTGAAAAACTTTCGAAACGCCTAGAAAACTCTTTGTTCTATCGCCTTATATATATATATATATATATATATATATATTAGGGTATGATGCGAATTGCAACCACAACGATGCTGAGATGTTCGCAAATATTCGCAAAACTTGGACCCCAGGCCAGATCAAACCACGATTTCTCTTTCATGGGGTTCGCAAATTACATATTGCGCCACGAAGGTCCTTGCTCTGCGTTTGTGCCAGCTTGTTTTCTACCTAGTGATTTCTGATGGCAGCGTTAGGTAAGGAATTAGCTGAGAGAAACGCAAAGCATGGGTCTCCGTAGCGCAGTGTGTAACATGCGAGCTCTCGGAAAGCGAAATCGTGGTTCGACTTGGCCCGGAGCCCAGGTTTTGGATATGTCAGCATTGCTGTGGTTCTAATGCAATTTATTGATAGAAGGTGGATGGCATAGTGGCAGTGATGATGGTCATCGCGACCATGGTGCTGGTTCAACCCCGATCCGGACCCACCAAACCTCTCACCATACCGAAGTCGGGAAATTGATACCAGAATTCTACGGGAAAAAAAACCACTTCTGCAATCAAATTAGGAACGCTCCAAGGACTCCAAATAATAAAAAAATAAAAAAGTGTAATTTTATAGTCTTCCTTAATTTCAAGTATTTAAAAACTGAATCTTCAAGAAATTGAGAGCTAAATTGAGATTTTATGAATTTACAAGGCATGAGTGACAGCTGCAAACATAAAAGATACATTGGCGAATATCATTTTGTCCTACTGGAAATATCTCGCTTATTGAATTGCTCTTGTGTTCGAAGCAAACGTTACGACGCAAAAAAGTGGAGAACAAGTGTTGAGTGATCCAGAAAACCGTAATTTCATCCGGATAGAAATAAAATAAGTTGCACCTTGTAGGCAAATGCTTGATGATTCGTATTACCGCCATTCCAACACATAAAGGCTAATATTGGGAGAAATGTTTTTTCAAATTAGAAATCAATCATTATTTTCATACCAAATGAATGCATTGTATCCAATGCGTCTTAGGCGTTAGTTGTCAAACGCCACTGGAAACCATAATGAACAACAAAGCAACCACATAAATCATAATCCCCGCAGAACATACATCAATGAGAACTACGATGTATACGGTACCAATGTAGTAACCCAACACTAACGTCTGACGTCTAATTTCGCGTGCTTTGGTGTACTCCACACACCAAGGACCACCCCTGATTTCGCGGAGGTCAAAAAGAAAAAAGGCCAAAAATTATTTTCTTGCAAATTAGTGTAGAGAACAGTTTTTTCAAAGCTATTCCCGATAAATGACCTATATTTGCCAAGTTAAATATACAGGATGGCAGTGTATAGTGGTAGTGACACAACGAGAAATCAAATAGAGCTGAAATGACACTGATGGAACTCATAGACGAGTTTCTGGATCAATGCGGACACCTGTAAACTAACAAACAGTAAACCAGCGCTTTCTCCGCTTAAAGACTGCTACAGAGGGAAAGCCTGCCTAATTGGCACACGTATAAAGGCCAGAAATTGACTACCTAAGTGAGTTATCCAATGAAAGCAAAGGAAGCAATAATTGAAAGCCCAACACAATCGGAGAACTATAATGATGTTGAAATGGAAATATGAGAGTGACGTCCACGACACAGGATTCAACCCCATAAAACTTGCTTATCCGGACCACACGTTGTCGAAAGGATAACCAAGGAAAACTTTTCGTGGACACAAGTGTACTGAAAGTATCCTATAGCGTGCATTTCGGCGAAAAAAGCGGTAATTTTTTTGTCCTTCTCTATGCCTAAAGTAGAAGGGCGCGTGCAGTGCAATAATGGTTAGAGGCGCCCTTCAATACACATGAGATCGATATCACGTTCAGGCTCACCAAGCGTTCCATCACTCCGGTGTCGGCAAATTGTAGCAGACTTGTCTGGGAGGATAGCAGCACTCGCTCGATACATCGATAGGCCACCTCAAGTCATTGTAAAGAACCAATATGCATTCAATCACCTTCAACGATGCTTAATGAAATGGAACGCATGGCGCATCCTTCAAAGTTTAATCAACGCCGAGAACCTCATCTTTCCTATCCTTTATTGAAGCACGCATGGCTTTAGTTCTCTAGAGGTTGTAGTGCAGTGGTTGCAGTTCTGGGCAAGGTGGATGTGGAATGTTAATATTGTGGACTTCAAAGGTTTAAACAGCATGGAAGATTTGCAAATTGGAGATTGTAACGGAAATCTATTTCAGCACAATATTTATAAAATCAGTGAGGAAATTCACCTGAGAGCATAAAGAACACACTTTCCACATGATCTTTTGACTCTTTTAGGCGAAATGATAGTCACGTGTGGCTTACAGAACTAAAGTATTATACCGCGATATCAGAGTGAACTAGATAAACTTATTGGTTAGTATCAAATAAAAGTATTGACACATAAGCATACACAACCATTCAAAAAACCTACATCGTCGAGTTTGCTCTTCTTATACACGCGAAACAAATCATCCATAGGCGTCTTATGACCCGCTAGATACTCTCTGGCCATTTGACACGCAACCATATGTTGACGAAGGATTGCCTTGGCATTATTCAAATCGAAAATCTGAAGCGACATAATTATTATAGGTTTAGGGAAGAATAGGTAAAAGCTACCTTGATTCTACCTAGTTACCTTGATTTTCGCCCCGGGATACACTTTATGGACCACGTCACCGGCACCTCGACCAGATTCTCGATCTAGATAATGCGAATGGACGAATATAGCACGTCCAGTGTACACCTGCACCCAAACATCGCCGTTTTCCTTGAAAGAAAGACGAATGCCATCTCCAATCGTTTGCCTACAAGAAACTTGAAAGCAGTGATTAGGTTACGTGCAAAAAAAAGTCAAAGGAGCGCTGCATGAGATTTCTTAAGCGAGTATACAATACTGTAATTAACGATAAAATGTAGATAATAGTTGCAGCTCAACTAATCCTTTACTATCCCAACCAGGTGCTGGATGAGACATGCATGCTATTTATACCAACACTGTTGAAGCGAAAAATACTTATTGGAATTTTCATAGTTAAAATGCCGAACGGTATATAAAGCGTCAAACCCTCTCCAGTTGATCACGCAAATATTTCCACCTAATACATAAATATATGGCTACCAGGTTGTTCACGACGGCAATCATAAGAAAGGTTTCCCAGCGGTTTACGGCCTCATCGTGGCTAGGAGGTATTCCTGGGTGTAGGGCTGCGATGTGCAGCAAGGGAATTCATCCCAAGCAGGACCTCCCAAGCTGAAAAGGAGTGCGGTGGTTCCATCAGGAAGTCCAGCTAAGAGTAAATCACTACCAGGATCCACCATCGTCCTGGTATCAAACTAACTGCATGGTGGAAAATTTCCCTCTGATTCACAAGGGCGACGATCGACTATGGTGGTGACAACAAGAGACACACTTCGGTCTGGCTGGCCTCGGGACTCCAGGGAACCACAATGGCTAAACCAGCCATCCAAGTATCGAAGTAAGTATGGTAAAACAGGAGATCGTTTTGAAAACAGATGTTGTTGTGATTGCTCGTCACCTACTGTAAAAAATTTTTTCTGAAGCACGATATTCAGCAGGAATTTTCTGACGTGGTGAAAAGCAAAGAAATTTACAACACCATCAACCATCTGCTGAACGCTTCGTCAATCCGACATTGCTGTTGCCACAATGTTATGTACGACGTCGGGCCTCTCAAGAAAATTCTCCTTCCAACAAGATGTCGAAAAGGGCAAATCAAGTAAAAAAAAAATCCAAAAACCGTCATAGGCAGCGATTTGTGAACTTCCTTGACCAAATTTTGAAAGCACAGTTATCAGCAAAACGGATAAGGAATGTTATCGTTCAAATGAAAACTTTTTACTAGAAAGTCCAAAGCTTTCGATAACTATTGCACAAACTGCAACTCATGGAGCTATTGCGAGAAAAGAATATGTCGCCTTTGTGAGCACCACACGACGTTCAAACTTAGAGAAAAGCGTTTTCATGAGAAGTTCACATGTTGTTGATCCTCTATTCACAACCAATCTATGAATTCATCAGCTGTACACATCTAGGATAAAATGAACACAATGTATGCATGAACGCATTAGACGAAGGACTTAGCTGGATGAAGTGATCCACTTAGTGACACTATCAAACATAAATGAAGAGGAGGAAAGTTCTTTTAAGAGAGCTATGCTAAAAGTGTCTCACATCACGGATAGACGTTTTGGGTATATCAGTCCCTGAAGAACGCGGTAAGCATTCTACACCAATCGTAACATCGACGAGGTGCATATTTGGCTTACCGAATAACTTCCGGAACCATACAGATGTATCAAGTCAGTGTATTTATCTTCTCAAACCCGTATAGTACTAATTTCCCGACCAGTGAAGAATGGAGGGCTTCGCTAGCTCTGTGGGGACGCGAGCCAACGATTGCGTATATATCGCGGGGCACCTCTAACCACCACACCACACGCTCCTAATCACATCGCTGATTCGAGTGAAAAATTCCAACTTTATATTTGTATCGGCAATCGAAAGTTAACGAAAGAGACTGTTCACCGTCTCGTTAACGCGAAATAAGCTTTTGTTTCTAGGTGGTGAAGACCTGACCAATAACTTTGACGGTAACATAAAAATCGCTCGGCTAGTTTTCTACTGGGGTGGAAACCGCATAGTGTGTGAGAACAACATGGGCCAAGTTTGTACTTTAGATAAGCTGAGCAAGGAATAAATCATAAAGTATAAAGCATTCGGAGCTGATAAATCCATGACGAGTGCGCCAGACATTCAACTTCATCAAACATCGTAGAGGCAAATGAATGCACATCTGGCTTATAGAATGACTTGCAGTGACCTATTAATGTATTAATTAGGTGTTTTTTAACCCTCCTAGATAAACTGAATGTAAATTTGCAGACCAGGAAAAGCAAACGGCTTGCTTGCCCGATATGCGGAATCGAACCAACAACAATGTGTGTATTGCAGGATACTACAGCTCTCATGGTCACTCCTGCTAATTCACCGAACATCGACAGGCACTAGTTGAGCAAATCTTCACCTTCGAAACATTCGTTGCTTCCATAATTTCAGAATTTTATGTTAACAGGATAAATGAATTTGTACCCCGTTTAGGAAATGTGCACATTTAAATGGTTCTTATTTCGCACTTAAGCTTGGCTGCACTGAATTAAAATTTACGCTCAAAACCATCAAATATTTTGCATCAATATAATAGCGGAATCCCTTAAGATAATCCATTTCTATGAATTATTTCTAATGGATACTTAGGACTTGGTATTCAACGAGACGAATAGATATAGTCGACAGAAGGACCAACCGTAAAATCCACGAACCCACAACTGCTAAAGATATTTAGATATAAAACGGAATCTTAGAACATATATTTATAGACGTATAACAATACTAACGCTGCAAGCTTACCTAACAAGATGGCAGTCTGGTTCACGAAGCGGATTGTTTTCCCGTCCTAGACAGTACCTATTAGAAGCTTGGCCAAACCCACCATCAATGTACATGTTAGCATGCTTCACCTAAAACAACTAGAATGAAATATAATCAACCATCTTGAAGCGAAAGTTTATTCCAAGCACCTGGAGTCTACCTATTTGCGTTTCTCGCTCGTAGTAAACAAAGCAACCCCAGTTCGAGTCGACTGAAAGGATATTAAAAAGTACAGGAACCAATCATGTAGAAGAGCAAGAAGAGGAAGGAAATTCTCAACACTAATAAACTGACGTCATATACTGAAAGCCTACCCGGACATGACGGTGGTTCGAAATTGTTGACTTTCAATTTGTTTCCAAGAACGAACTCGGCATTCACTGCAACACTTTGACAGAGTGTAAAGTAAAAATAAAAAGCAAAATAAAAGTACACGGAAACAGAGTAATGAAACTTACAAAGATTGCCGTAAGGTTGACCAAGAACAGGTTTGCTGAGAAGCTTTTTGCCCTTATCATCAGATGATGTGCCAGGAACGGCAATAAGTTGACTGGATTGAAAAACGTTCGATTGTACTTGTACAGCGTTCTCAAATGACCGCGTTTCTGGGAAACGAAGGTGATGATGATGTGTTTGTGATCGAGTAAGTGGCGAATCTATGAGTATAGGCCCAAGCGGCTGAAGATGGGAAGGTTGTAGACTTGGTAGATTTGAAGACGAAGCTATTTGCATTCGTTGCTTCTGAAGTTGTAGGGCAAGATGTTGCTGGTAGAGATGTTGATGTGAGATAGGCATCAAAGTCTTAGAATCCTGTACTAGCTGACTTCTTTCTATTTGGCCATCGAACAATCGAAGATGTGGGCAGTCGGACTGTGTCTGAAGTTGTTGCTGCTGATGGGTAGCATGTGATGGAAGCATGGGAGAAGACTAAAATAATTACGACATTGGAAAACAATAAATCAGAAACCTTATAGAAAAGTGCTATACAAAGCATATATCCATTTCGACTTCGAATTTTACCATTCTGGATGAGATGCACACTATTTCAAAGCGCATGCATGGTGACATAACGGACGGATCGAATTGAATTCAATGCATTTTATTGTACTTTATGCACTCAATCGACATACTAACTGTTACTATGACTGATGTACCATATTTCAGTCCAGAAAAGCTATACCGTACACCTTATAATTCAAAAAACCGCGCTTAAAACGAGTTTGGTGGTCTCGTTACAGAGATTGGTTCTGGGTAGGGCACTCATTGTTTCCTCCTTGGTTGTTAGAAGAATGGATAGCGAGCATTGGTCTCAATGCGCACCATGCAAGAGAGAAATTGGAAGACGTATCACATTGCTGGTACCCAAAATCAGCCGCCATTGTGAGTTTGAAAACCATGGAAAGAGTACATAAATATTGGAACAGGTAATCACATTCATATTTAAATAAACACTAGCAAGAAATCAAAGCAATTTGTTTATTGACATATGTAAGTCTGTCAGTGGGATTGAAATGCTACCTGTTCAAGAGAGTCTAGCCAAAATTGTACAATTCTTCCACAACTAGATGACAAATTCTCACCGTTTCTCCTCGATTCCATTTATGTGTTTGATCAACTGGATAAGAAGCATTGAAGATATTTGATGCTTAACACAAATTAAAAATAAAGGAAAATGAAAACAAGAAGCATCAAACAAACCTTGAGGGGATAGTGTCTGAGGACGCTGCTGACTGAATGGCGCTGCTGAGTTCAAAGCTCCTTTAGTATGGAAATCCCTCAAATAATAGATCTCAATGGGCAGAAATTTTCAAGCAAAAGAAAAAAAACCTTTGGTGTACACAGAACATGACACTATTAACCTCTATCAGAGAATAATTCTGTCACTACCTCAATAATATTTACTCTAGTTTACGTAAAAACCTGCAAAAAAGCAAAACAGAAACAATAAAACTACAAAAAATGCTTGTTATATGTGCAAAACCTGGTCAATGCTCAGTGAAGTAACCTGTAAAGTGCAGTAAGTCGCTCAACATCAGAGTCACTTCCGTCGGAAGGCGAACACTGCTCGAATTTCAACGGATTCAAGTCCAGATTGCAGAAATTATTAAGTGTTGGATTCAAGATACGTTCGCAATGGTATGGATTCACACATACCTTTAAGAATTCGACAAAAATATAGAGACAGACAAAAGTCAAAACGAACGAGATTTTACAAAGCCTACAAACCGATAATACGTTAAGCGGTCTAATCACGTACAGAGTCACACTTAAGGTCGAAAGCGCATTCACAAATGCTTAGATGACGTATCTCATTCTTGTGTAAATCCGGCCATCGAAAGACACGAGCATAGACGACATGGGGAAATCCTTTACGACCAGCCACCTTTAAAAAAACTTCAAACACGTTAAACTACATCACAATCAAAAACAGGGAAATTACGTTGAGAACATTTCCTATAATAACATCTTCTCGAGGAGTTACAGACTTAATAATGTTTCGTAAAAAACGTGGGGAGCCTGCAATGCAGTGGTCAGAGGCGTCCTGCAATACAAATGGGATCGGTCCCAGCGCCTCAAGCTCACCAAGCCTTCCATCCATCAGGGTTCGGTAAACTGCTACCGGACTTGTCTGGGAAGACAGCAGCACTGGCTTGATACATCGATAGGCCACTGCAAGTCACTGTAAAGACCTGATATGCATTCATTCACCTCCAACGGTGCTCATGAAGTCGAATGCACGGCGCATTCCTCAGGGATTGCTCAACGCAGAAAGCTCTAACCTTAAACAAACGTGGTAAACCTAGGGTATGGTGGCGAGCCGTTAATGTGCACATTAACAAAAATGAGGTGGGATACAGAAGAACTCAACAAATTTGAAACAAGCAAAGGCTCTGTTTAATAACATGGTGGTTTGTTTCCACAGTAATTTACGCGGATCGAAATCAGAAGAACAGTATTTGTTAACAAAACTCCTAAAACTGGTTTTCCATAGTTGTTAGTAATTTCTCGATGAATAGAGTATTCAAGCTACCACTTTATAAAGTAAACTTTGTTCCATCATCTTAAACGCAAAATATCATTTTTTAAACGTTCTTCAAATTTTAAGAATAAAATTCAAATCCTTAAAAACCAGGAAGAAAAGGAAATCTGAATTTTTAAAAGAACTAGACTCAACGAAAACAAAAAAAAAGTTAAGCAAATATTCTCTCATAAACTTTGGAACGCCGATACCTCATCTTCGCACGGCATGAAAATTTATATTTTGTTGGCAAACATCTATAGATTCTAAATGTCCTTATACTGATTAGATTCAATACTAATTGGAATATACTGTTTTAAATTTAAAGAGGCGATTAAGAAAGTACGTTGAGCAGAATGCGTGCAAAGCATTGTTCACTTGCTTATACAAGTAGTCGTTTCAATGAACTACAATATGGGTCCATATAGATTCGTACTTGAATTAAAACCGTTTGTTTCTCGCCCGATAATAACATGTTTATAATAAAAATATGTTCGTACATTTCCCATTCGATGAGATAATATTAGTGATAATGAAGTATTATTGATATAACTGGTATGTTTGATAATAATACGCTGCATGTATGCATGATAAAGGACAAAGGATAAAGCTCTCGGCGTTAGTCAATCCCTGAGTGATGCGCCATGAATTCGACTTCATCAAGCATCGTTTGGTAGTGATCGAATGCACATCTCACCTTTTACAATGACTCACGATGGCCTACCGATCTATCGACCCAGTGCTGCTATCCTCCCAGACATGTTTGGTACCAATTTGCCGACCCCGGAGAGATGGAAAACTCAATGGACCATGGGCCCGCGGATCGATTCCACATGTGTGTTGTAGGGGGCCACGACCACTGCGCCACACGCGCCCCCATAGTTTGGCAGCTTTGATAATAATATGTTCACATTTTTCTCGCTTTATAATAATATTCCCTATAGTCTTGACATCTCGCAACGGTTTACTGCCTCATCGTGGCTGGAAGGTGTTCCTCGGTACCGGGATGCGATGTACAGCGGAAGATTCATCCCTCTGGCAGAGTCTCCCAAGCTGAGGAGTCCAGCATTTTTATCAGGAATCCCAGCTAAGAATAAACCAATACCAGGATCCGTCACCGTCCTGGTAACAAACTAGTCGTGTGGTGGCAAATCTCCCTCTGATCAACAAGGGCAGCAACTGCCTGTTGTGGTGAGGACCTGGGACAGATTTTGCCCTATCTGAGGAGTCCACGGAACTACAATGGCTAAACCAGCGAAACTCTGAAAAAAGGGAGATCATTCTGGGGCCACCACAACCAGCGAATGGGCCATCCAAGTAACTAAGTAAGTAATACAACCACAACGTTGCTGAGATATTTGCAAAACTCTGGACCGCAGGTGTCTATGGTGGAGAACGAACGCGCTATTGTCCTTTCCGGGGAGTAACGCGTTCACCACTACACCATGCTGGTCCTTTGTTTCGCCTGTCTCTCAGCTATTTCTATCGA